TGATACTTTAGTAACAAGTGATGTTGGCTACAACAGACTTCAGTGCTGAGACTAGTTTTACATTCTAGATTAACGAATTGAATTTAAATACCAGCAGGGACCATGATGGGATTTGAACCCATATCCCCATATTATTTAAATGGACAATCGCATATTTGAAAGTTGGATAGGGCTCACCTTCAGCTGGCACAGACGAAAAAATCCAGTGGTCTGCTTCCGTGCCATTATTCCAAGTTCCAAGTTTTTTAAATGACTCATGGGACGTGGGTGTCACTGGCTGGACCCAGCATTTAATAACCGTGCCTAGTTGCCCCCTTGAGAAGGTGGTGGTGAGCTGCCTTCTTGAACCTCTGCAGTCCATGTGCTGTAGGTAGACCCACAATGCTATTAGGGAGGGAATTCCAGGATTTTGAGCCAGTGACGCTGAAGGAACAGCCATATATTTCCAAGTCAGGATAGTGAGTAGCTTGGAGGGAAAGTTGTAGGGATTGGTTTTCCCATGTATCTGCTGCCCTTGTCCTTCTAGATGGAAGTGGTTGTGGGTTTGGAAGGTGCTGCCTGAGGATCTTTGGTGAATTTCTGCAGTGCATCTTGTACATGGTGTTATAAAGACTATCTGACAGGATGACACATATGTGATGCTAGCAGTAAAGCTTTTAACATTAGTCTAGATTGTTGCAGGAAGACTGCAGCAAATACTGGGATAACTTGGAATGGGACCCTGGGATCAGGAAACATTGCTGTGCAAGTTCCAAGAATGAGGTGGTCATGGGTTCAAGGTGGATTGGGATCATATTTCAGAGATTTGTGAGCACAGTTAGGAGGAATCTTAGTGTCAGGATAACAGTTACTATTTGTCAAGGAGGTCCAATGTGAATGGAGCTTTGGGGAAGATTAAGGGAAGTAGAGACTGACCATATTAGGGCTTCCACAATTTGGCACCTGAAAAGGAATCAAGACTCCATGGGTCTTGTGGGCTGGCAGGACAATGGCCGCCAATTTATTTATTTATTCATTCACTCATGGGATGGGATTTTCACTGGCTGGGCCCAGCATTTATTGCCCGTCCCTAGTTGCCCCCTTGAGAAGGTGGTGACGAGCTGCCTTCTTGAATCTCTGCAGTCTATGTGTTGGAGGTAGACCCACAATGCAATGAGGGAGGGAATTTCAGGATTTTGACCCAGTGACACTGAAGGAATAGCCATATATTCCCAAGTCAGGATGGTGAGTAGCTTGGAGGGAAAGTTGCAGGGGGTGGCGTTCCCATGAATCTATTGCTCTTGTCCTTCTACATGGAAGTGGGGGTGGGTTTGAAAGGTGCTGCCTGAGGATCTTTGGTGAATTTCTAACTTGTAGTTAGTATACACTGCTGCTGCTGAGCGTTGGTGATGGAGGGAGTGGGATGTTTGTGGATGTGGCGCTAATCAAGTGGACTGCTTTGTCCTGGATAGTGTCAAGCTTCTTGAGTGTTGTTGGGGCTGTACTCAACCAGGCAAGTGGGGAGTATTCCATCACACTCCTGACTTGTGCCTTGTTGATGGTGGACAGGCTTTGGGGAGTCAGGAGGTGAGTTACTTACTGCAGTATTCCTAGCCTCTGACTTGCTCTTGTAGCTACAGTGTTTGTCAATGATAGCCTCCAATATCCAAAAACAGAAGTTGCTGGAAAAGCTCAGCAGGTCTGGCAGAATCTATGAAGAAAAATTCAGTGTTAACATTTCCGGTCCAGTGACTCTTCCTCAGACCTGAAACATTAACTCTGACTTCTCTTCATAGATGCTGCCAGATCTGCTGAACTTCTTCAGCAACATCTGTTTTTGTTTCTGATTTACACCGTCTGCAGTTCATTTGGTTTTTATATAGCCTCCAATTGTTGATAGTGGGGTTTTAAAATTATGAAGGGAATAGATAAGATAGAAGTAGAGAGGATGTTTCCACTGGCAGGTGAAGCTAGGACAAGAGGCCATAGCCTCAAGATTAGAGGGAGCAGATTTAGGACTGAATTGAGAAGGAATTTCTTCACCCAGGGGGTTGTTAATCTATGGAATTCCTTGCCCAGTGGAGTAGTTGACGCTACTTCAGTAAATGTTTTTAAAGAAAAGGTAGATTTTTTTTGAACAATAAAGGAATTAAAGGTTACGGTGAGAACGCGGGTAAGTGGATCTGAGTCCACGAAAAGATCAGCCATGTTCTTATTGAATGGCGGAGCAGGCTCGAAGGGCCAGACGGCCTACTTCTGCTCCTAGTTCTTATGTTCTTATGTTGTTCTTAAGTGATGGTAACCATTGATTGTGAGGGGCAAGGTTACATTGTCTCTGATTGGAACTGGTCATTGCCTGGTCATTGTGTGAAGTGCATGTCACTTGCCACTTGACAGCCCAAGCCTTGGTATTGCCTGGTCCTTCATACGTTTAGACATGGATTACTTCAGTGTCTGAGGAGTCGCGAATGGTGCTGAAGCTTTGTTACTCACTTCTTCTGAAACTTTAGATGCCAATGCAATAAAGTGCTGTTATGCACCAACCTCATCCCTTCTCTCCCCTCCATGACTGCCACCACACATCAGTAAGGCTCTCACTCCAATTACCAGCTCTGCCATCAGCCAGGGAGGGCTATGTGGCCTCATTTGTTAATGGGAAGTGGCAGGAAGGCCATTGCAATCTCCTCCAGCTCCAGTTTCAGCTTCCTAATTGCTCTCCTTGTTCTCAACCTTGTCAGATCTCAACTCTTTTTTTATATTCCACTTCATTCAGTAACCTTTGGTGATGGTCTTTGCATCCTCACTGTCCACTGGAGTAGTGCCAGATGATTGGAGGGTGGCAAATGTCATTCCTTTGTTCAAGAAAGGTAATAAGGATAATCCTGGAAATTACAGACCAGTCAGTCTTACTTCTGTGGTGGGCAAATGATCAGAGAGGATTCTGAGAGACAGTATTTATGATTATTTGGAAAAGCACAGTTTGATTAGAAATAGTCAGCATGGCTTTGTGAGGGTCAGGTCATGCCTCACAAGTATTATTAAATTCTTTGAGGATGTGATGAAAACAGAGCAGTGGATGTGGTATAAATGGATTTTAACAAGGCATTTGATAAGGTTCCCCATGGTAGGCTCATTCAGAAAGTAAGAAGGCATGGGATTCAGGGAAATTTGGCTGTCTGGATACAGAATTGGCTGTCCAATAGAATACAGAGGGTGGTCGTAGATGGAAAGTTTTCAGCCTGGAGCTCGGTGACCAGTGGTGTTCCGCAGGGATCTGTTCTGGGGCCTCTGCTGTTTGTGATCTTTATAAATGACTTGGATGAGGAAGTGGAAGGGTAGGTTAGTAAGTTTGCCAATGACATGAAGGTTGGTGGAGCTGTGGACAGTGTGGAGGGCTGTTGTAGGTTGCAATGGGGCATTGACAGGATGCAGAGCTGGGCAAAGAAGTGGCAGATGGAATTCAACCAAGAAAAGTGTGAAGTGATTCATTTTGGAAGGTCGAATTTGAATGCAGAATACAAGGTTAATGGCAGGATTCTTGGCAGTGTGGAGGAACAGAGGGATCTTGGGGTCCAAGTTCATAAAATCCCTCAAAGTTGCTACTCAGGTTGAGAGGGTTGTAAAGAAGGCGTATGGTGTGTTGGCTTGGCAGGGGAATTAAGTTTAAGAGCTGTGAGGTTATGCTGCAGCTCTATAAAACTCTGGTTAGACCACACTTGGGATATTGTGTTCAGTCCTGGTCACCTCATTACAGGAAAGATGAGATAGCTTTAGAGAGGGTGCAGAGGAGATTTACAAGGATGCTGCCTGGACTGGAGGGCAGGTCTTATGAGGAAAGGTTGAGGGAGCTAGGGCTTTTCTCATTGGAGCAAAGAAGGATGAGAGGTGACTTGACTGAGCTGTACAAGATGATGAGAGGCATAGATAGAGTGGATAGCCAGAGACATTTTTTCCCAGGGCAGAAATGACTAATACAAGAGGACATAATTTTAAGGTGATTGGAGGAAGGTACAGGGGAGATGACAGAGGTAGGTTCTTTACACAGAGAGTGATGGGCGTGTGGAATGAGCTGCCGCCAATGGTAGTGGAGTTAGATACATCAGGGACATTTAAGCAACTTTTGGATAGGCACATGGATGATAGTATAATGTAGGGTATGCAGGTTAGACTGATCTTAGTAGGATAATAGGTTGGCACAACATCGTGGGCCGAAGGGCCTGTACTGTGCTGTACTGTTCTATGTTCAATGTTTTTTTGTTTTAATCCATTACCCTGATCTTTATGATAATCAATGGCTCTGTATTCCTTGATTTTAAGCCTTTCCCTGGTCTCACCTCCTCACTCACTGCTCCTGCCCCTCTCTCCACCCCCAATAACCTCCTCTACATAGTAAAACTTAGAGATATCCACAATCCATCGATTCTGGCCTCCAGCATTTCCTTGACTTACATCACTTCACCATTGGTGGCCATGCTTTCAGCTGCCTCAATCCCAAACTCCAGAATTCCCTCCTTTGAACTCTCCATCCCTTGCCCTCCCTATCTCCCCCACTTTAAGATGTTCCTTAAAGCAAGGCAAATTGGACAAGAATTTGGCCACCCCTTGTGATACTTACACATTCATCTCGATTTCAAAATTGGTCTGGATACCTTTCTACTGTGTTAATAGGACAGTATAAATGTAAATAGCTGTAGTAGTTGAGAGGTCTGAAGCAGTAGCCAAAGTCTATAATCAGTTTGCAGTTAAAGGCTGCCCAATTGCCAAGTTGCAGATAACTTTGGAAACTCTGATAAGGAAGATAAATTGAAAACAGAGGCACAGCCAGAGACAATGCCCATTATTTGGTTGTAATTCTGATATAGTTAATCAGACAAAAAGTGCAAAGTAAGGATGCCTCTAATGACCATTAAAATAAGCAGAGGTTATCCAGTCGGATCACCCGGGTTAATATTAAATTTATTCCGAACTGATCCCAACACTGAACAGCCAAAGGTCAAACAGACTTCATTCTGCTACTCGGGAGATCTGTCTCTCATTTCTCTCTCTCTCTCTCTCTCTGTCATTCTCTCTTCACCTCTCGTACTCAGTCTTGTGTGGAAGTGAGAATTGTGTGGCGAACAAACAATGTCAGGGTCCCGCTGAGGTGTCAGGAGGTGGACCGATGATTAGCCCGGACACATGGAAGACTGTCGAAGCCCAGAACAAGGCCCAAAGAGGGAGGCTGAGATCGCGAGATACCCCTTTCACCGGCGACCTCCCTGGATCCTCAGCATTTTGTTTGCAGTGCAGGTAGGGCAGTGTCCCCATGTGCACACCCCTGACTCCTGTCACTCCACCATTCAGTGTTAAGTCCAGGGGCTAAACTTTGTAAACTTCCCCCGAAACCTTGTTGTTGCTTTGCACCTCTCATCCACTTTTTTCTGTCCACCCAAGGTGTCGCTTCCTGGACCAGCACTTATTGCCCCATTTATAACTGCCCTTCAAGAGGTGGTGAAGAACGGGCCTTCTTGAACAGTTGCAGCCCTTCGTGTGTAGGGACAATCACAGAGCTGTTAGGGAGGACATTCCAATATTTTGATCCAGCGGGGTGAAGGAACAGCTACATATTTCCCAGTCAGGATGGACCGCAACTATAAGGGGGATTTGAAGGGTGGGTGGTGGATTTCCCAGTGGTCTGCTGCCCTTGGTCTCTTAGATGGGGGAGGCTGTGGGTTTGGAAGGCGTCTAAGGAGCCTTGTGAATTTCGGCTGTTCATCTTGTAGATGTAACACCCTGCAGCTACTGAATGTCAGGGGTGGATGCTTTGACCGCTGAAGTTAGAAGGTGGGGTGCAAATGTAGGATCTTTCTTAAAATGCTCATTTTGAGCTGCATGTTTGGTCACCTGCCCTAATATGTTATTACACAATTTGGTGCCTGACCATGATTAGTAATGCTACTGTATTGTGTCTTGGGAATTTTTTTCTGCTTCATAGGTGCTATGCAAACATAAGTCATTGCTGTTGACTGTAAGGCTATGATTTCTTCTTTCATTGTCTTTACGGTGTATGTATTGCTCTGAATTTTTGTTTACTTACCAGGCTTGTAATAATTCACTCTGCGATTACTGAATGACATTTGACTTAATGCTTGGGTAGAGTTGCACACATGACATTCCTGGGATCCCTCCTGTGCAGCTGAAAGGATTTTATGAGTGTTTAGGAGAAATTAGCTTCATTATCTTCAAGGTCAGCACTCCTTAGTGCTGGAGCTTAGCTTGCGGGATCTTACTGTGCACCAAATAACGGTCAAGTTTCCCACATTCATAAAAGTGAGTGCCCTTTTAAATTACCTCATTGGCTATGGAACATATGGATCAGGAACTGGATAAGGCCATTCAGCCCCTCAAACATACTCTACCATTCAATAGGATCATGGCAGATCTGATTATAAGCTCAAAGTCATTTATGAGATGTGGGCATTATTAATTCAGCCAGCGTTAGTTGCCCTAGAGAAGGTGGTGGTGTGTTGCCTTTCTGAACTTTTGGATTCCATAGGGTGCAGGAATACCATCCTGTCCGGTTCTGTTAGGGAAGAAATTCCAGGATTTTGACCAGATGGAAGGACGATACGTTTCCAAGTCAGGATGGTGAGTGGCTTGGAGGGGAATTTGCAGGGGTTGGTGTTCCCATGTATCTGCTGCCCTTGTCCTTCTTGATGGCAGTGGTGGTGGATTTGGAAGGTGCTGTCTAAGGAGCCCTAGTGAGTTTCTGCAGTGTACCTTGTAGGTGGTACCAATATTCTGTCTAATTTTCTTTCGGACAGTGCAGGTTTCTGATTTCCGTGTATGGCAGTGGCTTCTGGAACTGGAAGTCAATGCTGTGACAAGCATGCCAACACTGATTGCCACCCAAGCATCCTTGCAGCAGCTGCATGTGCAGTTTTGATTGAGTTTGAATGGTACACACTGCTGCTACTGAGCATTTGTGATGGAGCTGAAGATGTTTGGGCCTAGGACACTACCCTGAGGAACTCCTGCAGAGATGTCCTGGAGCTGAGATGATGAGTCTTTATGTTAGGTCTGACTGCAAATTGTAGAGAGTTTTTCTCTCTTATTCCCAAGACACATTCACACAGGCCCTCTCTCACACACATACTCTCTCACACTTACGCACACTCTCTCTCAAGTGCACTCTCTCTCTCTCACACACACACACCAACACACACACACACACACACGCACACACACACACCCACACACACACACACCCCCACACCCACACACTCACACACACACACACCCACACCCACACCCACACACTCACACACACACACACTCACCCACACCCACACCCACACACTCACACACACACACACCCACACCCACACACTCACACACACACATACACACACACACACACACCCACACACACACACACCCACACACACAGTTTGTTTATTTGCAGATACAATCTATTTTGTTCAAAAAACACACAATTTGTAGTCTTGGTCAGTCAGTGTGGCATCTTATAAAATCCCGCTTTTGGAATCAAACCAGCCTGATTCCAGGTTAAAACTCTGAGACAGATTCTGAACAAAGCCTCACACCTACAGTTCAGTGTGTGACCTTTTGTACATTCCTATGGCTCTGCCTAATTGTCATGACAGCGCGGCACTAACATTGACTTTATAAACACTTTACTCACCATCTAACGTTCTTGGTCACCTGCAGAGACTTATCATCTGACACCCCACTCACACCAGTTGTATGATCTTTTGATCTCTCTGCCCTTGATCTCTCTGCCTATAAACTCTGTGTCTGTGTGCCCTGCTCTCTCACCGCACCTGACAAAGGGGCTGCGTTCCGAAAGCTTGTGTGATACCAAATAAACCTGTTGGATTATAACCTGGTGTCGTGTGACTTCTGACTTTGTCCCATTGTTTCTGGCTTTGCTTGGGTTTCTTGATGCTAGGCTTGGATCATCAGGCTCACTGGAGAGAGTGGCTGCTCCACCCAGGAAAGTACCAGTCCATGGAGGCAGAGATAGTAGGAACTGCAGATGCTGGAGAATCTTAGACAACAAGGTGTAGAGCTAAATCATTTCTGAAGAAGGGTCTAGGCCCGAAACGTCAGCCTTCCTGCTCCTCTGATGCTGCTTGGCCTGCTGTGTTCATCCAGCTCTACTCCTTGTTATCTCAGTCCATGGAGGCTCTGTGTTGTAGTGACTCTATGACCTACCCTAATGGTGCATGGCTGTGAATCAACCTTTGTTCGAATGCATGGCTAAAACTGCCTTGTTGGGATTTCCCGCATTAACAGGTGAGTTGAAAAGGGGCTATAAGATGTTTGTTATTCTGTCTTCATAACCACCTTCTCTTTCTCTTTCCCCAGCATGTGTTGGTGCAGACAGCCCTCTTGCAGACTGTCCACTGCCTCCTCATCGATGCCCTCCCATCAGACCAGATTGCCCGCCAACATGGCTACCAGTTCATGGCTACCAGCCTTTTTGCCTCTGGCATCTCCACTTTGCTGCAAACCACCTTGGGCAGCAGGTAAGCAAGTTTTCAAACGCTCATTGCTGCCATTCATGAGGCCCCACTTTACAGATTAGCCTGTAAAATTAATACACACAGAACATGAGGGTGGTGTACTGACATGGGGCAGTACAGTGGCTCAGTGGTTAGCACTGCTGCCTCACAGTGCCAGGGACCCAGGTTCGATTCCACACCTCGGCTGACTGTCTGTGTAGAGTTTGCACGTTCTCCCCATGGGTTTCCTCCCACGGTCATGAAGATGTGCAGGCTAGGTGGATTGGCCATGGGAAATACTGGGTCTGTGTGGGGTGGTCTTCAGAGGGTTCAGAGCAGACTCGATGGGCTGAATGGCCTCTTTTCACACAGTAGGCATTCCATGATGACAGGAAACAAAGAGTAGGCAGCAGTGGGGTATCCCAGGAATCAGTTATGGACCTGAGCTATTCACGATATACGTCAAGGATTTGGATGAGGGAACTATAAGGTATTTTCTACAAGTTTGGAGTTGACACAAGGCTGGCTGGCAGGGTAAGCTGTAAGGAGGATGCAGCAGTATCGTTTGGACAAATTGATTGACTAGGCAACTGCATGGTAGATGAAGCATAATGTGGATAAATGTGAGGTTATCCACTTTTGTATCAAAAACAAGAAGGCAGGTAAATATCTGAGAGGTGATAGATTGAGAAAGGGAGAAGTGCAATGAGACCTGGGTGTCCTCGTACACCAATCACTGACAGTAAACATGTAGCTGCAGGAGGAGGAGAAGAAGGTGAATGGTATGTTGGCTTTCATAGTGCAGAGATTCGAGTACAGGAACAGGGATGTCTTGCTGCAAATATACTGGGCCTTGGTGAGACCACATCTGTAATATTGTACACAGTTTTGGTCTCCTTATCTGAGGAAAAATGTTCTGCTGTTGGAGGGAATGCAAATAAAGCTGAGCAGTTTGATTCCTGGGATGGCAGGATTAGTGTATGAGGAAAGACTGGATCAGTTAGGACTGTATTCACTGGAGTTTAGAAGAATGAGAGGAGATCTCATAGAAACCTGTAAAATTCTAACAGGACTAGACTGGGTAAACATGGGAGCGATGTTCCTGATGACTGGGGAATCCAGAACAAGGTGTCACAGTTTAAAGATATGGGGTAGTCCTAAGATAAGGAGAAATTTCTTCACCTAGAGGGTGTTGAGCCTGTGGAATTCTCTGCCACACAGCTGAGGCCAAAATATTGAGTGTTTTCAAGAAGGGGTTAGATATAGGGGATAAAGGGATCAAAGACTGGGGAGAAAGTGTGAAAAGGGGCCTGAGTTGGATCATCAGCCATGATCATATTGAATGGTGGAGCAGGTTTGAAGGGCTGAATGGCCTACTCCTGCTCCTATTTTCTATGCTTCTGTGTAATTCCTATCGGTATAATTGGAGAGATGTTTAAGATTATAAAAATGATAGTTGGCAATAAACCATATTCTCCAGGAGAGAGGGGCTTAGTCCAAAATGAAGAGGCATCATGTTAAAATTAGGCCCAGGCTGTTCTAAGGAAAACTCTTCAATGCAGCAGGTAGCAGAAAATCTGGAGCGGTCACATTCAAAAGGTCATAGTGTCTTGGGAGCTTCCAAATAAAACTGCAGAAGGTGGAAATCTGAAATGTGAGCTGAAAATGCAGGAAATGCTCAGCAGGTTGGGCAGCATTTTGTAGAGAGAGAAAGCAGAGTTCACAGTTCAGGCTCATCACAACTGGAAAAGGTTAAGAGTGTCACAGGCCTTAAACAACAAAAAGGTGGGTGGAAGGTGAATATCAAATGGCATGTTTGTGTAGGACTTGTTGTGTTAAGTCTCACAGTTGGTATGTCAGTATACCTTTAAGATATATGCCCGTGATATTATTGCTGTATTGCAGAATGTGACCTGAGGGTATGACAGTCTCAGACTCCAGCTTAACTCTAGCCACTTGAAGCATGACATGCTCATGAAAGCATTTGTAACGGAATGCACTAATACCATCCCAGACACATCCATGCCTGAATATCTAAAGTTTGTTGATCACAGTGGGCTGCAATAAACACTCTGTTGGATCCTTCAATTACAAGCGAGCGGTTAGAACATAGAACATAGAACATAGAACAGTACAGCACAGTACAGGCCCTTCAGCCCATGATGTTGCGCTGAACTTTTACCCTAATCCTAAGGTCTATTTAACCTCCACCCCTACCTTATACTATCATCCATATGCCTATCTAATAGCCGCTTAAATGCCCCTAATGAGGCCGACTCCACGACCCTCTCCGGCAATGCATTCCACGCCCCGACCACTCTCTGAGTAAAGAACCTACCTCTGACGTCTCCCCTATATCTACCTCCATTCACTTTAAAACTATGCCCCCTCGTAATAGCTACCTCCACCCTAGGAAAAAGTCTCTGCTGTCTACTCTATCTATACCTCTGATCATTTTGTACACCTCTATCAAGTCACCTCTCATCCTTCGTCGTTCTAAAGATAAAAGCCCTAGCTCTCTCAACCTTTCCTCGTAAGACCTTTCCTCCATTCCAGGCAACATCCTGGTAAATCTCCTCTGCACCTTGAAAAGGGAAAAGGAAAAGATTAAGATACCATCAGACGAGGAGAAGCAAACAAAGTGGCAAGAGGGTTGAGATTTCAGCCGTGAGAAAATCACAATCTGAAATTGTAAATTATTTGCTTTTCATTTATCCATTCATGGGAACGTGGGTGTTGTTGGCAAGAACAACATTTGTTGCCCATCCCTTGTTGCCTTTGAACTAGAGTGGCTTGCTAAACACACTGCAGAAGACAATCGACCACATTGCTACGTGTCTGGAGTTGCATGAATGCCAGACCAGATCCCTCCTTAAAAGACATTAGCGAACCAGAGAAGTTTTTATAATCAATGATTGTGCATGGGCACCATCACTGAGACTATTTCATTCCAGACTTAATTAATGATCGTCAGCTGCTTCATCAATGACCTTCCCTGTGGCAAAGGTCAGAAGTGAGGATGTTCGCCAACAAATACATAACATTTGGTACCATTTGAAAATCCTCCGATACTGAAGAAGTCCATGTTCAAATGCATTCAAGATCTGGATAGTATCCAGGTTTGGGCTGACAAGTGGCAAGTAACATTCATACCACACAAATGCCAGGCTATGTCCATCTCTAGTAGAGACAATCTAAACACCACCCCTCAACATTCAATGGCGTTACTATCCCTAAATCCCCCACTATCAACATCCTGGGGGTTGCCAGTGACCAGAAACCCAACTGGACACACCATATAAAGAGGTTAGGAATTCTGCAGCGAGTAACTCACCTCCCGGCACCCCAAAGCCTGTCCACCATCTACAAGGCACAAGCCAGGACTGTGACGGGATACTCCCTACTTGCCTGGATGGGTGTAGCTCCAACAAGAAGCTCAATGTCATCCAGGACAAAGCAGGAACTCGTTTGGCACCATATCGACCATCTTAAATATTCATTCACTCCACACTGCAAAGTGGCAACACTGCATGCTAGCTGCAAGATGCACTGCACGGTTCACTCAGTATCCTTCAAAGATAGTTTCCAAAACTACAACCACGTCCACCTAGAAGGACAAGGGCAGCAGATACATGGGAACACTATCACCTACAAGTTACTCATCATTCTGACGTGGAAATATATTGCCGTTCCTTCACTGTCGCTGGGTCAAAATCCTGGAATTCCCTCCCTAAGGGCATTGTGGGTCGAACTACAGCACATGGACTGCAGTGGTTCAAGAGGGCAGCTTACCATCATCTTCTCAAGGGGCAACTAGGGATGGGGCAATAAATACTAATCTAGTCAGTGATTTCACAACCCAGAAATAATAGAAATATGGTCCAATGGTGGTCCAGCTTCTCTCCTCATGACTGTTACAATCAATCTGTTAAAATGGAGCCTGAGACCTTTAAGTGAACATAATACCTAGGAGCAGGAGTGGGCCATTCAGCCCATCTAATGCTCTGCCATTTAGTACGATCTTCTCAGCCTCAACTCTACTTTCCTGCCCACTCTCCATAACCCTTCAACCCATGACTAATTACAAATCTGCCAACCTCCTCCTTAAATTTACTCAATGTCCCAGCATCCACTGCATTGTGGTGGAGTGAATTCTGCAAATTCATGATCCTTTGAGAGAAGTAATTTTTCCTTATCTCTGTTTTGAATGTGTTACCCTTAATCCTAAAACTATGACCCCTCATTTCTAGATTGCCCCATAAATATCCATTCTACATCTACTTTGTCAATGCCCTTTAGTGTTCCAAGGAGGCAATGGCCTAATGATCTTATCGCTGGACTGTTAATCCAGAGACCCAGATAATGTTCTGGGGACCTGGGTTTGAATCCTGCCACAGCAGATAGTGGAATTTGAATTCAATAAATTTCTGGAATTAAGAATTTAATGATGACCATGTATCCAGTGTCAAATGTCAGGAAAAACCCATCTGGCCTTTTGAGAAGGAAACTGCCATCCTTACCTGGTCTGGCCTATGTGTGATTCCAGATCCACAGCAATGTGGTTAAGCCTTAACTTAACAATTAGGGATGGGCAACAAATGCTGCCTGACCTGCGATGCCCTCATCCCATGAATGAATAAAGGGGGAAAAAAAAGCATTGTTTAGTTCACTTCCCATTCTTTTAAACTCTAACCAGTGTAGGCCTAAACCATTCAATCTCTCCTCATAAAATAAGGCCTTCTTCTCTGGAATCAAACCAGTTAAACCTCCTCTGAATCGCCACCAATGTAACAACATCCTTCCTCAAGAAGGGGGACCAAAACTACACCGTACTCCAGGTGAGGTCTCACCAATGTCTTGTACAGTTGCAGTAACACCTCCCCATTTTTACACTCCATTCCTTTAGCATAAATGACCAAATTTCATTTACCTGTTGTGAATTTCCTCTCAGGACGGGCAACAAATGCTGGCCCAGCTGGAGACACTCACACCCCATGCGTGGATAAACAAAAATGACATTGTGC